GGTTAAATTGGGAGTCGGACAGGGGTGTCCTTTCTGTGTCATGAGTGAAACTGTGATTCATGTGTTTTCTGTGTGCGCCAGGTTAATGCCTTTAATGTCTCTGTTGGAATGTCTGTGTGAGAGGTTGGGGGTGGAGTTTACTGTTGGGATGTTTATAATGGGGTACAGGTATTCAAATAAGGAAAAGGTCAAATGTATGTTGTTGCATTTTCTGTTTGCTCAGGCAAAGTTGGCTATTTGCTAACAAGGAGGAACAGGGTCAAATGTAGGGGGATAACAGACCCTTTACTATTATTTAATGGGATGGTCTCTGCGCGCCTTAGGGTGGAATTTGAGTTCTATAAAATGATAAAAAGTGTGGAGATGTTTCAAGAGATATGGTGTGTTGGGGGGGCTGTCTGTATAGCTGGGGAAGATGGTCTGTATATACGGTTGTAGAAGTGGTGAGGTCTGGGTTATTGTAATGTGTGGTGTTGTTTTTGTATCGTGGGGTAGAGGGCAAGGTGAGTATGCAGTACAGGGATGGGGGGGGGGGGGGGGGGGGGGGTTTAATGAAATGAGAATGCATCATTAAAGAAAGACAAAAAGTCAGAAGTCTCTCTCTGTCTGTCTGTATGTCTGTCTCTCTCTATTTCTCTCTGTCTGTCTGTCTGTCTCTGTCTGTCTCTCTCTCTCAATTTCAATTCAATTCAATTTAAGGGCTTTATTGGCATGGGAAACATATGTTAACATTGCCAAAGCAAGTGAAGTAGATAGTAAACAAAAGTGAAATAAACAATAAAAATTACACTCAGAAGTTCCAAAATAATAAAGACATATTATGTATATATAGAGTGTTGTAACAATGTGCAAATAGTTAAAGTACAAATGGGAAAATAAATAAACACAAATATAGGTTGTATTTACAATGGTGTTTGTTCTTCACTGGTTGCCCTTTTCTTGTGGCAACAGGTCACAAATCTTGCTGCTGTGATGGCACATTGTGGTATTTCACCCAGTAGATATGGGGGTTTATCAAAATTGGGTTTGTTTTCTAATTCTTTGTGGATCTGTGTAATCTGAGGGAAATATGTGTCTCTAATATGGTCATACATTTGGCAGGAGGGTAGGAAGTGCAGCTCAGTTTCCACCTCATTTTGTGAGCAGTGTGCACATAGCCTGTCTTCTCTTGAGAGCCAGGTCTGCCTACGGCAGCCTTTCTCAATAGCAAGGCTATGCTCACTGAGTCTGTACATAGTCAAAGCTTTCATTAAGTTTGGGTCAGTCACAGTGGTCAGGTATTCTGCCACTGTGTACTCTCTGTTTAGAGTCAAATAGCATTCTAGTTTGCTCTGTTTCTTTGTTAATTATTTCCAATGTGTCAAGTAATTCTCTTTTTGTTTTCTCATGATTTGGTTGGGTCTAAATGTGTTGTTGTCCTGGGGCTCTGTTGGGTCTGTTTGTGTTTGTGAACAGAGCCCCAGGACCAGCTTGCTTAGGGGACTCTTCTCCAAGTTCATCTCTCTGTAGGTGATGGCTTTGTTATGGAAGGTTTGGGAATCGCTTCCTTATAAGTGGTTATAGAATTTAACGGCTATTTTCTGGATTTTGACAATTAACGGGTATCTGCCTAATTCTGCTCTGCAAGCATTATTTTGTGTTTTTCGTTGTACACAGAGGATATTTTTGCAGAATTCTACATGCAAAGTCTCAATTGGGTTTTTGTCCCATTTTGTGAATTCTTGGTTGGTGAGTGGATCCCCGACCTCACAACCATAAAGGGCAATGGGTTCTATAACTGATTCAAGTATTTTTTAGCCAGATCCTTATTGGTATGTTGAATTTTATGTTCCTTTTGATGGCATAGAAGGCCCTTCTTGACTTGTCTCTCAGATTGTTCACAGCTTTGTGGAAGTTACCTGTGGCGCTGATGTTTAGGCCAAGGTATGTATCGTATTTTGTGTGCTCTAGGGAAACGGTGTCTAGATGGAATTTGTATTTGTGGTCCTAGCAACTGGACCTTTTATGGAACACCATTATTTTTGTCTTACTGAGATTTACTGTCAGGGCCAGGTCTCTCTCTCTCTCTCTCTCTCTCTCTCTCTCTCTCTCTCTCTCTCTCTCTCTCTCTGTCTGTCTGTCTGTCTGTCTGTCTGTCTCTCCCTTTATTATTCTGTGTCGTGTAACCCTCCACTCTTTCCCTCTCACTTCTTACACATACACTGAATTTGAGTACGAAAAAAGTATGAAAATGTATGCACTCACTACTGTACGTCGCTCTGGATAAGAGCGTCTGCTAAATGACTAAAATTTAAAAATTTAAAGTTAACAGACAGTCCTCTCTTCTCCTCTCCTCGATCTCTCTCTGTCCCTGTCTCTGAGTTTCTGTCTCTGTCACTCTGTTTGTGTCGCTCTGTCTCTCTCTCTCTCTACTGCTTCCCCTGGTCCTAAATCACACAGCTGCAGAGGTAGAGAAAGAGCAGAGATAGCGGGAGCAAGGAGCGAGAGAGCGAGACACAGGGCATGAGGTAAAGAGAATGGGTCTTTGTGAAGGGAAAGGGAGTTACAGTGATAGTAATTCCCACACTAGCCCTTGTCCTCCAACCTCCCAGCACGGCAGGGCAGGCAGCGGAGTGGAGAAACTTATGACGTGCTCTCCGCTGTGTTTCTGTCGTACATTCCTACAATGTCATTAATCACTGTTCTCCTATTCCATATAAAAGAAAGAGAATACTGGTATTTGGGGATGTTCCACCTCTCTGTTTGTAGAGGGCAGTTTTATCAGTGGAATTGCTTATGTTATAAGACATTCAGAAATTCTGTTGTCCAAAAAATAAGGGTTCCAGGGTATTTTCAGCTTAGTTCACAATTGGTAAAATATAGGAGTATAGATTGAACCTAGATCTGACAAAAGGAAAGGGGATGCCTAGTCAGTTAACCCATCCCCTCTGAATCAGGCACAAAGCAATAGTGAATGGTCATTTCTATTCACATGGGAGTAACTTTGTTCATATGGAAGTAGCTCTAGTCTAGACAACTATTTACTGTGTTGTTTCTTGGACCTGTACTGCACATTTTCTCCTGCTGTTGTTGCTATCTTCATCCATTAGAGGTCACTGCAGGTCCGTGATACAGTAGATTTAGAAACTCATCAGTTCACCTAATGTGTTGTAAATAAATATGCATTATGAATTAGGTGTGTAGTAAGCAACTAAACACCCTGCTGGTATAATTATCTGTGTATTTAATGAAGGCTCAGCAAGACCCCTCTGGTCTCCTGACAGGCAGACAGTCTTCTCTAGAAGCACTATTGACTCATCTTCCTAGGAAGATGCCTGCCTGGCTAGCTGTTGTTCTCAACGTCTTTGAGTGCGTCCCAAATGGCACCCTATTCCCTATATAGTGCACCACTTTTGACCAGAGATGTATGGGCCCTGGTCAAAAGTAGTACACTACGTAGATAGGGAATAGGGTGCCATTTGGGACAAAACTGTTGTTGTTGTTTTTCAGCATCTTGTACTGGGAGTTTGTGCAGAGAGGACGCTGGAAGAATTGTCAGTCTCTTGTCTTGGTTTTTGAAACAACTTCCATTTTTAGCCAACACCTGGCTGTGTGAATGGATTCTACCTCTTTTTCTTCGAAAGAAACTCTAGCACCACTTACGTTTCTCTGTTTGTAGCTGTTCCTGAATTTCAGTCATTTTCCAGTCAGCTAACAGTCTCTCTATTCTGCTCCTTTCTTCTGTCTAACAGGGATTTGAAGACCCCAAGGACAAGTGAGTAGAGACCCCCATCTCCCCATCTCGCTTCCTGTGAGTCAAGGTGTTGGGCAACCTTCTGCTGCAGGTTGTGTTTTCAGGGTTTCTAAAGACAAAATGGCAATATCACAGCCATAGATCTTTGACTTATCTGGATAGGTATGTGGCAGTCACAGAAATAAACTACTGTTGCTATAATACACAGCATAGCCATCGAAAACACGACCAGAACATCCAACTCATTTTTCACTGGGTGAGGAGGGGAATCCTGGAAATGTGATTGGCTGATCCAGTTGTCACTCAAGGGGATGGCCCATTTTCCGTTGTGCATATCCTTGCATATGTCACAAACACAGTCTGTGTTCTCACCCTGAATATATCTAAATTTCGAGCTCCTCTATGTGATTCTATGTGCTTCTGTTGTTTACAAAGCATGTAACAAATAACATTTGATTTGATTTCCCCCATGCATTGCTCTACATGCTACAGCCAGATTTTACATTTTTAGTCATTTAGCAGACACTCTTATCCAGAGCAACTTACAGTTAGTGAGTGCATACATTATTATATTTTTTTCCATACTGGGCCCCCGTGGGAATCGAACCCACAACTCTGGCGTTGCAAGCGCCATGCTCTACCAACTGAGCTACATGGGACAGATCAATGTTCTTCAATGGGCTTTGCTTTATCTTGGCCAGGTCGCAGTTGTAAATGAGAACTTGTTCTCAACTGGCTTACCTGGTTAAATAAAGGTTAAATAAAAAATAAAAAAATAAAAATGTGTTTCATCATGACAGTCACTTTAGTGAATGGGAGCAAACCCGTTTCTTCAAGGACATGACATCCATACCCATGAGTGTCAGTGAGTTCAGTCTCTTCCATACTCACTGTAACTTATGCTGTCTGTGATCCATAAAACATTTTAATCACCTGTTTTGATCTTGTCCACTGATCCACTGACAATAGGCCAGATTGCCTCTAATCAATGCAATCAAACAATGCACTGCTGATTCAACGAACGATTATTCCAATCAAATTAACATGATGACAGTGGTCTGATGATCTCAATCACTTTGTTTGTTACGGTCACACTTGATTTGGGTGACGCAGTTCTGTGGTGAGTTAGGGGCTTGTGGTGGGGGGGACTGGTGTCGGACTGGCCCGTAGAGACATAGAGCTGAAGGACCTCTTGTGATGGCCTGAAACGGAAAACAAAAAAGTGTCTCCTCGTCTTGTGTTATCTAGACATTTCATTTTCAGAAACATGCAGGAAAACCTGAACCCAGAGGATGAGGTGGACGAGTTCTTAGGGAGAGCCATCGACGCCAGGAGTATTGACCGGCTACGCTCGGAACACGTCAAGAAGTTCCTGCTGACCTTCAGAGAACCAGACCTGGAGAAGAAGGTACTGACGTCCTCCTCCAGGGAGATGACTCCACATAATCACACTAAAGTCCTGAGGGAAATGACTCCACATAATCACACTAAGGCCCTGAGGGAAATGACTCCACATAATCGGACTAAGGCCCTGAGGGAGATGACTCCACATAATCACACTAAAGTCCTGAGGGAAATGACTCCACATAATCAGACTAAGGCCCTGAGGGAAATGACTCCACATAATCACACTAAGGCCCTGAGGGAAATGACTCCACATAATCGGACTAAGGCCCTGAGGGAGATGACTCCACATAATCAGACTAAGGCCCTGAGGGAAATGACTCCACATAATCACACTAAGGCCCTGAGGGAAATGACTCCACATAATCACACTAAGGCCCTGAGGGAAATGACTCCACATAATCGGACTAAGGCCCTGAGGGAAATGACTCCACATAATCAGACTAAGGCCCTGAGGGAAATGACTCCACATAATCACACTAAGGCCCTGAGCGAAATGACTCCACATAATTGGACTAAGGCCCTGAGGGAAATGACTCCACATAATCACACTAAGGTCCTGAGGGAAATGACTCCACATAATCACACTAAGGTCCTGAGGGAAATGACTCCACATAATCACACTAACACCCTGAGGGAAATGACTCCACATAATCACACGAAGGCCCTGAGGGAAATGACTCCACATAATCAGACTAAGGCCCTGAGGGAAATGACTCCACATAATCAGACTAAGGCCCTGAGGGAAATGACTCCACATAATCACACTAAGGCCCTGAGAGAAATGACTCCACATAATTGGACTAAGGCCCTGAGGGAAATGACTCCACATAATCACACTAAGGTCCTGAGGGAAATGACTCCACATAATCACACTAAGGTCCTGAGGGAAATGACTCCACATAATCACACTAACACCCTGAGGGAAATGACTCCACATAATCACACGAAGGCCCTGAGGGAAATGACTCCACATAATCAGACTAAGGCCCTGAGGGAAATGACTCCACATAATCACACTAAGGCCCTGAGGGAAATGACTCCACATAATCACACTAAGGCCCTGAGGGAAATTACTCCACATAATCGGACTAAGGCCCTGAGGGGAATGACTCCACATAATCAGACTAAGGCCCTGAGCGAAATGACTCCACATAATCGGACTAAGGCCCTGAGGGAAATGACTCCACATAATCGGACTAAGGCCCTGAGGAAAATGACTCCACATAATCAGACTAAGGCCCTGAGGGAAATGACTCCATATAATCACACTAAGGCCCTGAGGGAAATGACTCCACATAATCACACTAAGGCCCTGAGGGAAATGACTCCACATAATCACACTAAGGCCCTGAGGGAAATGACTCCACATAATCACACTAAGGCCCTGAGGGGAATGACTCCACATAATCAGACTAAGGCCCTGAGCGAAATGACTCCACATAATCGGACTAAGGCCCTGAGGAAAATGACTCCACATAATCGGACTAAGGCCCTGAGGGAAATGACTCCACATAATCAGACTAAGGCCCTGAGGGAAATGACTCCACATAATCAGACTAAGGCCCTGAGGGAAATGACTCCACATAATCACACTAAGGCCCTGAGGGAAATGACTCCACATAATCGGACTAAGGCCCTGAGGGAAATGACTCCACATAATCACACTAAGGCCCTGAGGGAAATTACTAAACATAATCACACTAAGGCCCTGAGGGAAATGACTCCACATAATCGGACTAAGGCCCTGAGGGAAATGACTCCACATAATCACACTAAGGCCCTGAGGGAAATGACTCCACATAATCACACTAAGGCCCTGAGGGAAATTACTAAACGTAATCACACTAAGGCCCTGAGGGAAATGACTCCACATAATCAGACAAAGGCCCTGAGGGAAATGACTCCACATAATCAGACTAAGGCCCTGAGTGAATCTTCTGGATATATCTTTAGCAGTGGAAATGTCAAACGAGTAAGCAGTGTATTCATTTGTGTCAGGATTGATTGTCAAACTCAGGAGGTCCATGAGTTTTTCCTAACTACAACAGGAAAATGTTTTAGTGTTAGTCTATAACTAAGGGATTTTTCCCTGTCAGGTGTCATGGTCAGTTCAAAAGATTCAGGGCCTTTGTCAAGACAAGCAATTCTGCTACAAATTGCTACACCACTCACTGGTGTGACATATCCAGGGCATGTCAAAGCTAAAAGGAAGAGAGAGGGGTAAAAATGATGCTGGTAAAAGGGAAGATACATAAAAGGTGAGAGAGGGCGAGAGCAGTTAGAGAAAGGAGAGGCAGAGAGGGAGTGGGAGAAAGAGAGAGCGATAAAAATGATGCAGATATAAAAGGAAAGAGAAGGAAGAGGTGAGAGGGAAGGAGAGAGAGGGTGAAGGCAGAGAGAGAGAAAGAGAAGGGACAGAGGCCCCATTTTCAACCTACTCTCTTTCACCTCTCCCTCTCTCATCCTCTCTCATTCTCTCTCGTCGGGGTAAAGGGGCTGTATAGTGGCTACTTAGAACTGATCCAAAGCCCTCTCTCAGTGTGTCAGCCCCCAGCCCAGTCTTCTGTGGGAGAGATAATCACTGACTTTGTTTTCCTCTATTACCTGTCATCTGAAAGATCTCATAATTCACCTCCTGAGTAACTATGCCAGCCAGACACACACACACACACACACACACACACACACACACACACTATTCACCTCCTGAGCACATCCTTTAGGCCCAGCCAGAGACACTGCTGCATGTGGATGGATGGATAGATGGCTGGATAGATAGATACAGTCGATAGATAGATGGATGGATAGATGGCTGGATAGATAGATACAGTAGATAGATAGATGGATAGATGGATGGATGGATGGATGGATAGATGGATGGATGGATAGATGGATTGATGGATGGATGGATGGATGGATGGATGGATAGATGGATTGATGGATGGATGGATGGATGGCCGTTCAGCTGTGTAACCGTTACCATGCTGTTCTCACAGTGTGAGGCTGTTGTGTCCTCACATCAGTATACTGTACTAAAGGGTTTGAAGTGAGATGTGAAGCAGTCAGCCAGCCTCTGGTTACCTTACTGCTCTTAACATAGTCTCCTGAGTGGCGCAGTGGTCTAAGGCACTGCATCGCAGTGCTAGCTGTGCCACTAGAGATCCTGGTTCGAATCCAGGCTCTGTCGCAGCCGGCCGCGACCGGGAGACTCATGGGCAGCGCACAATTGGCCTAGCGTTGTCCAGGGTAGGGGAGGGAATGGCCGGCAGGGATGTAGCTCAGTTGATAGAGCATGGTGTTTGCAACGCCAGGGTTGTGGGTTCGATTCCCACGGGGGACCAGTATGAAAAAATATATGTATTCACTAACTGTAAGTCGCTCTGGATAAGAGCGTCTGCTAAATGACTAAAATGTAAAATGTTATATTTTTCTATTTCTGTTTCTCCGTCAGTACTCCAAACAAGTGGACTCCAGATTTGGAGCGTACGTGGCCTGCTCCTCTCTCATCTTCTTCTTCATCTGTTTCATCCAGATTGTCATTGTACCACAGTAAGTACTGAATCCAATATTTTGGTGGTAAAAAATAGTAATTGGAATGCGTCTATCAGCCACCCGATACTGACATTGGTTGTTTTATTGATGTCCTTGCATCATCCTTGCATATTTAATGGGAACATTTTTATAATCATCCCGATGTGGAGTCTGCTTACCAGACTTTTCTCACATCCTTTAATTCTATATTTCATCACTGCATTTTGGTTTACAACCGGTCCAAAAAAATATTGGTAAAAAAACCCCACATTGTATAGAAAGTTGGTCATAAATCCCACCCCCCTGAATTCTGCCAATTACAAAAATAATAACAACAAATTTACCCATTTTATTTCGGATATCCCCAAAAATATATTTTACGAACAAATTCCAATAATCTTCAAACAATATAAAGTCAACTTGGAAAATCATCAATCATCTGTTGAATAGGAAAAAGGCCTCTACAACTATCCCATCTACAGTGGGGGAAAAAAGTATTTAGTCAGCCACCAATTGTGCAAGTTCTCCCACTTAAAAAGATGAGAAAGGCCTGTAATTTTCATCATAGGTACACATCAACTATGACAGACAAAATGAGAAAAAAGATTCCAGAAAATCACATTGTAGGATTTTTAATGAATTTATTTGCAAATTATGGTGGAAAATAAGTATTTGGTCAATAACAAAAGTTTCTCAATACTTTGTTATATACCCTTTGTTGGCAATGACACAGGTCAAACGTTTTCTGTAAGTCTTCACAAGGTTTTCACACACTGTTGCTGGTATTTTGGCCCATTCCTCCATGCAGATCTCCTCTAGAGCAGTGATGTTTTGGGGCTGTCGCTGGGCAACACAGACTTTCAACTCCCTCCAAAGATTTTCTATGGGGTTGAGATCTGGAGACTGGCTAGGCCACTCCAGGACCTTGAAATGCTTCTTACGAAGCCACTCCTTCGTTGCCCGGGCGGTGTGTTTGGGATCATTGTCATGCTGAAAGACCCAGCCACGTTTCATCTTCAATGCCCTTGCTGATGGAAGGAGGTTTTCACTCAAAATATCACGATACATGGCCCCATTCATTCTTTCCTTTACACGGATCAGTCGTCCTGGTCCCTTTGCAGAAAAACTGCCCCAAAGCATGATGTTTCCACCCCCATGCTTCACAGTAGGTATGGTGTTCTTTGGATGCAACTCAGCATTCTTTGTCCTCCAAACACGACGAGTTGAGTTTTTACCAAAAAGTTATATTTTGGTTTCATCTGACCATATTACATTCTCCCAATCCTCTTCTGGATCATCCAAATGCACTCTAGCAAACTTCAGACGGGCCTGGACATGTACTGGCTTAAGCAGGGGGACACGTCTGGCACTGCAGGATTTGAGTCCCTGGCGGCGTAGTGTGTTACTGATGGTAGGCTTTGTTACTTTGGTCCCAGCTCTCTACAGGTCATTAACTAGGTCCCCCCGTGTGGTTCTGGGATTTTTGCTCACCGTTCTTGTGATCATTTTGACCCCACGGGGTGAGATCTTGCGTGGAGCCCCAGATCAAGGGAGATTATCAGTGGTCTTGTATGTCTTCCATTTCCTAATAATTGCTCCCACAGTTGATTTCTTCAAACCAAGCTGCTTACCTATTGTAGATTCAGTCTTCCCAGCCTGGTGCAGGTCTACAATTTTGTTTCTGGTGTCCTTTGACAGCTCTTTGGTCTTGGCCATAGTGGAGTTTGGAGTGTGACTGTTTGAGGTTGTGGACAGGTGTCTTTTATACTGATAACAAGTTCAAACAGGTGCCATTAATACAGGTAACAAGTGGAGGACAGAGGAGCCTCTTAAAGAAGAAGTTACAGGTCTGTGAGAGCCAGAAATCTTGCTTGTTTGTAGGTGACCAAATACTTAGTTTCCACCATAATTTGCAAATAAATTCATTAAAAATCCTACAATGTGATTTGCTGGAGAAAAAAATTCTCAATTTGTCTGTCATACTTGACGTGTACCTATGATGAAAATTACAGGCCTCTCTCATCTTTTTAAGTGGGAGAACTTGCACAATTGGTGGCTGACTAAATACTTTTTTTCCCCACTGTATATTTAATGTTGAAATGTGGGTTCCTCTCTGTCAAAGCAAATCTGAAAAATTTATGGAAATCCCTTGGATTACATTAAGGGTAATTTCCCTTATCTGCTTCAGTTTGATCCACCTGATGTAATGGAGGTGATGGAGGTAATTGGGATCAGAAGCAGGTCATGATGAGATTGGTGCTTCTTTGGTGAAATCAGTGTCTTCCTTGATTATTGAGCGTCTAACGCAGGGGTGTCAAATTCATTCCATGGAGGGCCTAGTGTCTGCTGGGTTTTGTTTTTTTTCCCTTTCATTTAAGACCTAGAAAACCAGGTAAGGGGAGTTCCTTACTAATTAGTGACCTTAATTCATCAATCAAGTACAAGGGAGAAGCGAAAACCCACAGACACTCGGCCCTCGGTGGAATGAGTTTGACATGTGCTCTAATGTATAACTTCACCAAATCAATGCAAATTGTTATTGTTCCTAAATATTTGAAAATTGCCAAAGTTATCCCCCTCTATAAATCTGGGGATCCAAGATATTTTACAAATTATCACCCAATATCTGTACTACCATGTTTTTATAAAATCCTAGAGAAACTGGTGTATAAAAGAATGTTGAAACATTTTAACAAACACTGTATTCTATATGAGCACCAATATGGTTTTCGTAAAAACTACAGATATTGCTCTTTTACAACTTGTGTGTAAAATCTTTACATCCCTGAATAACAATGAATACGTACTTGGCATCTTTCTGGATCTATCCAAAGCGTTTGACATGGTTGATCATGAAATATTACTTGCTAAATTGCATTATTACAGTTTTCATGATTATACATATAAATGGCTATATAATTATGTTTATGATAGAGAACAATTTGTATATGCAAATAAGTTGTGCATCTACCAGGGCCAAGATATCCTATGGCATCCCACAGGGTTCAGTCCTTGGACCTTTGTTGTCCCTAATCTATATCAATGACCTTGCTGCTGTGTCTTCTACTGTACTTCCCATTATTTAATTACTTGATTTTATCACACAAGAATTTCGATTGACTAATCAATGACGCCAACTCAGGCATGGCCACATTTTCTGAATGGTTTCAGATAAAGAAATTATCTTTAAATGTAAAAAAAAAAAAAAAAAAACTTAATTGTACTCACTGGTAAGAATAAGAATTTTAATGGGAATGAAATAGACCAGGTTTCATTCACTACATTCCTAGGTGTCCTAGTTGATGAGCAGTTGTCCTGGAAAGATCCTATTCACTTTGTCTGCAGCAAAGTGGTGAGGTCTGTTGGTATCATCAGAAAGATTAGTGGTTTGGTTTATCAGACTTGCTTCCTAACACTATACTACAGCTTAAGTTACCCATATCTCATTTACTGAAATATTGCATACAACATACCGAAACCCTGCGATAACCTTCACCCTTCCCACTGCCGCACCTCACATTGTTAATTCTCTAGCAGATACAGAGGTACCATACTCTGGAATTCCTATCTTCACATTGCCAAAACATCATCATCCCTCAATAACTTCAAGCATAGACTAGGGGTCAGCCTGATGAACCAAACTACCCAGTAGTAGACTAGGGGTCAGCCTGATGAACCAGACTACCCAGTAGTAGACTAGGGGTCAGCCTGATGAACCAAACTATCCAGTAGTAGACTAGGGGGTCAGCCTGATGAACCAGACTACCCAGTAGTAGACTAGGGGTCAGCCTGATGAACCAGACTACCCAGTAGTAGACTAGGGGTCAGGGGTCAGCCTGATGAACCAAACTACCCAGTAGTAGACTAGGGGTCAGCCTGATGAACCAGACTACCCAGTAGTAGACTAGGGGTCAGCCTGATGAACCAGACTACCCAGTAGTAGACTAGGGGTCAGCCTGATGAACCAGACTACCCAGTAGTAGACTAGGGGTCAGCCTGATGAACCAAACTACCCAGTAGTAGACTAGGGGTCAGGGGTCAGCCTGATGAACCAAACTACCCAGTAGTAGACTAGGGGTCAGCCTGATGAACCAACTACCCAGTAGTAGACGTAGGGGTCAGCCTGATGAACCAACTACCCAGTAGTAGACTAGGGGTCAGCCTGATGAACCAGACTACCCAGTAGTAGACTAGGGGTCAGCCTGATGAACCAGACTACCCAGTAGTAGACTAGGGGTCAGCCTGATGAACCAGACTACCCAGTAGTAGACTAGGGGTCAGCCTGATGAAACCAGACTACCCAGTAGTAGACTAGGGGTCAGCCTGATGAACCAAACTACCCGGTAGTAGACTAGGGGTCAGGGGTCAGCCTGATGAACCAGACGACCCAGTAGTAGACTAGGGGTCAGCCTGATGAACCAGACTACCCGGTAGTAGACTAGGGGTCAGCCTGATTAACCAGACTACCCAGTAGTAGACTAGGGGTCAGGGGTCAGCCTGATGAACCAGACGACCCAGTAATCCCCTCCATGTAGCCTCACACACACATGCACACACACATAATCAAACGTTTGAGTATATAATGTACAATTATAATTAGTATGCATTGTTTAACTGATTGAACAAACTTTTTTTGTATTTGTATATTGGTTTTTGTGGTGTGGTTTTCATATCAGCCCTTTTGGGCTTCCAACCTCTACCTGTTTTTTATCTGTACTGTTTTGTCTTTAACTTGTTTTCTTTGGTGCACTTTTTTAAATAAAAAAATAAAATATATCATTCACAACTTGGAGCCCTAGCTCTTTTTGGACTGAGGGCAGGGCTTTGGGGATGAGTTGAGGAGACAGACAGGACCTAGATGAGGCTGGTACCTGAGTCCTGTCACCACTATTCCTCTCCTCTCCCAGGGGGGCTGATGGGTACCGCTGTGGCTGCTTGTTCATTAACATTCCCTTTTTATTATTCTCTCGCTCGCTCTCTCTCAGCTCCACTCTGATGATTGGGTTCTATGTCACCTGTCTGATCATCCTGATGGCTGTTATGTTTGTCTCAGCAGTCTACTCCTGTTTTGGGGTGAGTACTTATGTTTTCCAAGGAATTTGTTTGTGTTTCAAAGCTTCTGCATACTATGACCACAATGTGCAACAGCACTATCCATCCATCCAGTACCCACATAGCTCTGACGCGTTTCTGTGGCTGTTGCATCATGCAGAATATATTTACAATATAGTCATTTAGCAGGAGCTCTTATCCAGAGCAACTGACAGCTGCAATTAGGGTTAAGTGCCTTGCTCAGCGGCACATCAACGTATTTTTCACCTAGTTGGCTCTGGGATTCAAACCAGCGACCTTTCGCTTACTGGCCCAATACTCTTAACCGCTACGCTACCTGACGCCCCTATAACAGGTCTGGTTTCACAGCATGACAGGGCAGAACACACAGCAGGTAAACCTGCTTGGTGGATGGTATTGATTTTTCCGGCCCTTAGAGTAGCAGTCCCCTGGAGAGACACAGTCAGAGTTAGGCTGCTCAGTGAGGCCTTCAGAGAGGAACTGGCATGTAATTGGGCGAAAGATTAACGTGAATGTAAACTCACATTAGGGGTATTACTGTTTTGTCAGTTGGGGACGTTTGCGAACGACGGCAGCGGACTGATGATGTTATAGCTGTTGTTGTTGTTCCTGGAGGGCCCTCAGGGTATTTAATTTCCTGCTGTCTCCTCATTGGCTGATGTCCAGCTTGGGGGGAATGTAATAGGCCCCAAAATCATAATGGAAACAAGAAGAAGAAGAACAACAGGCACCTGATCTTCTGTAGTTGAGGGATTTTTATATATTGTAAGCGGCTTTGATAATATTGTCATTGTAGCACTGTAAGCTTTGGAAAAGTGAGGGGTTTAAAATTCCAAAGAGGATTCTATATAACTCCCCAGGTCAAACGCGATCCACGAAATCAGTGACTTTTGCGTCCCTTTGATATCTTAAGTAGAAATTGTGCACCAATATTGAATTTTAAAAGCCTGTTATATTAAATGAAGTGCCCTTCAATATAGACCACATGAAAATTCTATAGATCTGATTTTTTTGTTTGAAAATACTTAAAAGTGCCAAAATTCAGCATTTTGACATGTCCCTCTGTGATTTCTAGGATTTTAACCCACTAAACCCCTAATATTTCTCCAAGTTTCACCATCATTGTAAAGCCCTAGTTATTTGGTTGCTTTGACAGTCATTTCTGAAGATTATTATATTTCATGTGATTAGTGATTCATTTTAAGAAGAAAATAAAACCTGTCCTTCGTTTTAAGGTCAACCCTGTTACGTGAACTGAACTTTCATTTTTAATATGTGAAACTAATCCTTTTTAAATACGTTTTTCAAAAGAAACATTGAACATCTAAAAGTCAAATCATAGTGTAAAAGCAAGTAAGCTGGTTCTACTCTTTTTGACCATTTTCTGGTGTTTTGTGGTGGAAAACTGAGCGGGTCGAGCATAACGCGTCAACCCTTTTATCCATAGATAGACAGGCTAGAAATGTTTTAACAATTCAATTGTTTGATTGAAGCTTGCATTCAATTACCCCTCCCTGTTCCACACAGCAAGCTTCCATTCCCCCTGTCACAAGGGGATTTATGGCTGATTTAAAATGAAGTCGTCTACCGTTTTACGTCAACCCTGTTACTTTATTTGGCACTTAATAGGCACTTACTATAGCCATTCATTTTTATTTAACTTCCTGAGATTGGAAAACATGTTTTTTATTAAGTTGAACATGTGCTCTTTATGATAGTGTATTAAAATTAGGTGAAATAAACTTGTTTTTTTCACCAAGTCACACTAGTCAAAAGGCACCTAATTGATGGAACTACCCGTCTAGACTACAGTTATGAATCATATCAAATCAAATTGTATTGATCCTGAAACTGTTTACATGTTGAAAATGCTGCATGCATGATCCTCGATTTTGCAAGGAGTCTGGTTTTGTGGGAGAGGGGTAGGCATCACTTCTACCAGCATGTGTAGAATTGCAGCCAAAAGTCATAGCTGGGATTGATGGCTGTAGGATACAAACATAACGCTCTCTAGTAACCCAAAATACTGTAGACTGACCTACTAACCATACACCCCCCCCTCCCCCCTCTATCACCTCCCCTGGGGACAGTTTTTCCCAGTGCCTCTACAGACCCTGTCTAAGAGGATTGTCCAGTCCAGACTCAACAGCACCCTGGTGGGAGTCTTCACCATCACCCTGGTGTTTCTCTCTGCCTTCATCAACATCGTAAGTCCCTGAGCCTCCACTCCAAATGGTTGCACAGATCATTTGAAGGGGTAAACCCTGAAAGCAAAGCTTACATGGTTCTGCATTAATGAGTGTTTGACATCTGTGGGCATCCTGTGTAAAGTCTCCAGGGTTGTGTTTACATTTACATTTTAGTCATTTAGCAGACGCTCTTATCCAGAGCGACTTACAGGAGCAATTAGGGTTAAGTGCCTTGCTCAAGGGCACATTTACGTCATTTAGCAGACGCTCTTATCCAGAGCGACTCACAAATTGGTGCATTCACCCTATAGCCAGTGGGATAACCACTTTACCATTTTTTTTTGGGGGGGGGGGGTGGGGGGGGGGGGGGGTAGAAGGATTACTTTATCCTATCCCAGGTATTCCTTAAAGAGGTGGGGTTTCAAATGTCTCCGGAAGGTGGTGAGTGACTCCGCTGTCCTGGCGTCGTGAGGGAGCTTGTTCCACCATTGGGGTGCCAGAGCAGCGAACAGTTTTGACTGGGCTGAGCGGGAACTATGCTTCCGCAGAGGAAGGGGAGCCAGCAGGCCAGAGGTGGATGAACGCAATGCCCTCGTTTGGGTGTAGGGACTGATCAGATCCCGAAGGTACAGAGGTGCCGTTCCCCTCACTGCTCCATAGGCAAGCACCATGGTCTTGTAACGGATGCGAGCTTCAACTGGAAGCCAGTGGAGTGTGCGGAGGAGGGGGGTGACGTGAGAGAACTTGGGAAGGTTGAACACCAGACGGGCTGCGGCGTTCTGGATGAGTTGTAGGGGTTTAATGGCACAGGCAGGGAGGCCAGCCAACAGCGAGTTGCAGTAATCCAGACGGGAGATGACAAGTGCCTGGATTAGGACCTGTGCCGCTTCCTGTGTAAGGCAGGGTCGTACTCTCCGAATGTTGTAGAGCATGAACCTGCAGGAGCGGGTCACCGCCTTGATGTTAGCGGAGAACGACAGGGTGTTGTCCAGGGTCACGCCAAGGCTCTTCGCACTCTGGGAGGAGGACACAACGGAGTTGTCAACCGTGATGGCGAGATCATGGAACGGGCAGTCCTTCCCCGGGAGGAAGAGCAGCTCCGTCTTGCCAGGGTTCAGCTTGAGGTGGTGATCCGTCATCCATACTGATATGTCTGCCAGACATGCAGAGATGCGATTCGCCACCTGGTTATCAGAAGGGGGAAAGGAGAAGATTAGTTGTGTATCGTCAGCGTAGCAATGATAGGAGAGGCCATGTGAGGATATGACAGAGCCAAGTGACTTGGTGTATAGGGAGAAAAGGAGAGGGCCTAGAACTGAGCCCTGGGGGACACCAGTGGTGAGAGCACGTGGTGCGGAGACAGCTTCTCGCCACGCCACTTGGTAGGAGCGACCGGTCAGGTAGGACGCAATCCAGGAGTGAGCCGCGCCGGAGATGCCCAGCTCGGAGAGGGTGGAGAGGAGGATCTGATGGTTCACAGTATCAAAGGCAGCAGACAGGTCTAGAAGGACAAGAGCAGAGGAGAGAGAGTTAGCTTTAGCAGTGCGGAGAGCCTCCGTGACACAGAGAAGAGCAGTCTCAGTTGAATGACCAGTCCTGAAACCTGACTGGTTTGGATCAAGAAGGTCATTCTGAGAGAGATAGCAAGAGAGTTGGCTAAAGACGGCACGCTCAATAGTTTTGGAAAGAAAAGAAAGAAGGGATACTGGTCTGTAGTTGTTGACATCAGTGGGATCGAGTGTTGGTTTTTTGAGAAGGGGAGCAACTCTCGCTCTCTTGAAGACGGAAGGGACATGGCCAGCGGTCAAGGATGAGTTGATCAGCGAGGTGAGGTAGGGGAGAAGGTCACCGGAGATGGTCTGGAGAAGAGAGGAGGGGATGGGGTCAAGCGGGCAGGTTGTTGGGCGGCCTGCAGTCACAAGTCGCAGGATTTTATCTGGAGAGAGGGGGGAGAAAGAAGTCAAAGTGTTCAATAGAGCACAGCGTAGCAGAACGTTTTGCAATGGAAAACAAAAAGTATTTATTATCGGAAAGTTTTTGTGCCTACTGAAACGTTTTGTGCCTACTGAACACTACCCAGTTTTCATTCATAATCATGTGAACCCCCTTTGACCTCTGTCCTCTGCCCCCTAGTTCACCTGTAGTACTGGAGACCTGAGGGAGTGTCTGAGCTGGGAGCTGAACATCAGTCGCAGCAGTGTGAACGCCTGCCATGCACGCAGCCTCAACTACACCCTTGAATCACTGGACGGCTTCTGTGGCAGCCCCTCACCCAACTGCAACTTCCCTGAGGTGTGTGTGTGTACGCCAAGCTAGGCTTGAGCAGTCATTCTCACTATACTTATTCTGTGCCAGAAGCGGCCAATTCATTTCACAATGGCAATGCTAAAACATTTGCAAATGTTTGACATCACTCTTTCATGTCTCCCCTCGCCCCTCCCCCTTCTCTCTCTCTCCCTCCCTCTCCCTCCTCTCCCCCCCTCCACCCACCCACCCTCCCTCTCTCTCTCTTTCTCCCCTCTCCACCCTCCCTCTCTCTCCCGCTGTAGTACTTCTCTTCCTGTGTGTTGTTGACCCTGCTGGCCAGCTCAGTCTTCCTACAGGTCAGCAGTATAGGTAAACTCTTACTCATGCTCTTCATCGAGATCTTCTACGTCCTCATCATGGAGGTGGTAGCGGTCAACCTGTTCGACAACGTAGACCTGCTGGTCATGGCCAATGCTATGTGAGTAGTTTAGAATATCCATTAACTTGCAGGTACAGCAAGGTACAAAACGTAAAGCCGTGAAAGAAAGATAGATAACCGATGAGTCAATAGTATTTTATGCTAATGCTCTTCAGAGCAAAGCATTAACGTGTCAGATGTCTCATATGTTTATTTACTGATGTACACCTAGCTTTAGATATGATGGAGGAGAACAACCCTGGCTTGTGTAAATTGCTCTGTAGATTAATGTTAGATTGAGGTGGAAGGGATTGATGGCCATTTATTCACGACAGGCAAGTTGCAGATTTAAATTAAAACCTTTCCTGAGTTTAGTGGTGCGTTTACTTAATGTAATGGATGACTGTTGGTTAGGCCAGATCAGGTCCTGTCTACAGTTATCCATCTTCAGATGGAGTGGAGGGTTCCGTTGCCCTGTTCTCCCTCTCTCCCTAAAATGTTCTTTCTTTGTTTTCTCTTCATAGTGAGCACATCAATGGAACCAGGTGAGATTTATGTAGCTTAACACTATTAAACAAATGGAAACAAATTGAAACGCACAAATTGATTGAGATCAATTGTATCCAATATACTGTAGCTTTAATGCCTCCTATAGATCTTCCTGGCACTTCATATGCCTTAGGTAGTTCGATAACATTGATAAACAGTGTTGTGACCTTGTATATTGTTTAGTAGTGGTATGTAGTATCTAGCGTTATTAGATAACATAGATTAAAGAGTGCTGTGGCCTCAGGCATGTAGTTGGTCTCTGTAGTTGATCTGTAATTGATCTGTGGTATCTGTAGTATCTAGCGTTATTAGATAACATAGATTAAAGAGTGCTGTGGCCTCAGGCCTGTAGTTGGTCTCTAGTTGATCTCTGTAGTTGAACTGTAGTTGGTCTGTGATATCTGTCCTCTCTGTCCAGCTGTGTGATGGACTCTAAGGTCCCTCTGAAGATCATGACTCCCGTGGTCATCACGGTCTTCGTCCTGGCCTTGTATCTACACGCCCAGCAGGTGGAGTCCACAGCCAGACTCGACTTCCTCTGGAAACTACAGGTAGGTGTGCGTTTGTGTATTATTTTTTTTTTTTAACCTATATTTAAACAGGGAGTCGCATTGAGATTAAAAATCTATTTTACAAGAGAGCCCTGTATACATTACAATAAAAACAGAATAATAAAACAGACACATACAGTACCAGTCAAAAGTTTGGACACACCTACTCATTCCAGGGTTTTTCTTCATTTTTACTATTTTCTACATTGTAGAATAATAGTGAAGACATCAAAACTATGAAATAACATATATGGAATCATGTACTAACCAAAAAAGTGTTAAACAAATAAATATATATTTTATATTTGAGATTCTTCAAATAGCCACCCTTTGCCTTGATGACAGCTTTGCACAATCTTGGCATTCTCTCAACCAGCTTCATGAGATAGTCACCTGGAATGCATTTCAATTAACTGGTGTGCCTTGTTCAAAGTTAATTTGTGGAATGTATTTCCTTCTTAATGCGTTTGAGCCAATCTCTTGTGTTGTGACAAGGTAGGGGTGGTATACAGAAGATAGCCCTATTTGGTAAAAGACCAAGTCCATATTATGTCAAGAACAGCTCAAATAAGCAAAGAGAAACGACAGTCCATCATTACTTTAAGACAATCTGGAAAATGTCAAGAACTTTGAAAGTTTCTTCAAGTGCAGTAGCAAAAACCATCAAGCACTGGCTCTCATGAGGACCGCCACAGGAAAGGAAGACCCAGAGTTACCTCTGCTGCAGAGGATAAGTTCATTAGAGTTAACTGCACCTCTGATTGCAGCCCAAATAAATTCTTCACAGAGTTCAAGTAACAGACACATCTCAACATCAACTGTTCAGAGGAGACTGCGTGAGTCAGGCCTTCATGGTCGAATTGCTGCAAAGAAACCACTACTAAAGGACACCAATTGGGCTCCCGAGTGGCGCAGCGGTCTAAGGCACTGCATCTCAGTGCTTGTGGCGTCACTACAGACCCCCTGGTTAGATTCTAGGCTGTATCACAACCGGCCGTGATTGGGAGTCCCGTAGGGCGGCGCACAATTGGCCCAGCGTCGTCCGGGTTTGGCCGGTGTAGGCCGTCATTGTAAATAAGAATTTGTTCTTAACTGACTTGCCTAGTTAAATAAAGGTAAAATAAAATAAAATAATAAGAAGAGACTTGCTTGGGCCAAGAAACACGAGCAATTGACATTAGACCGGTGGAAATCTGTCCTTTGGTCTGATGAGTCCAAATTTTGAGATTTTTGGTTCCAACCGCTGTGTCTTTGTGAGACGCAGAGTAGGTGAACGGATGATCTCTGCATGTGTGGTTCCCACCGTGAAGCATGGAGGAGGAGGCGTGATGGTGTGGGGTTGCTTTGCTGGTGACATTGTCTGTGATTTATTTAGAATTCAAGGGACACTTAACCAGCATGGCTACCACAACATTCTGCAGCAATACGCCATCCCATCTGGTTTGCACTTAGTGGGACTATAATTTTGTTGTTCAACAGGCCAATGACCCAAAACACACCTCCAGGCTGTGTAAGGGCTATTTGACCAAGAAGGAGAGTGATGGAGTGCTGCATCAGATGACCTGGCCTCCACAATCCCCTGACCTCAACCCAACTGAGATGGTTTGGGATGAGTCGGACCGCAGAGTGAAGGAAAAGCAGCCAACAAGTGCTCAGCATATGTGGGAACTCCTTCAAGACTGTTGGAAAAGCGTTCCTCATGAAGCTGGTTGAGAGAATGCCAAGAGTGTGCAAAGCTGTCATCAAGGCAAAGGGTGGCTATTTGAAGAATCTCAAATATAAAATATATTTTGATTTGTTTAACACTTTTTTGGTGTTACAATGTAGAAAATAGTAAAAATAAAGAAAAACTTGAGTCCAAACTTTTGACTGGTACTGTGTATGTGCATAAAACAATATAATTCAGCACACAATAAACCAAAATAAACTTATTTAATAAAAGCAATCACATTCAACTACATAGAGGTCCTCATTCAGGTGTGTGTCTGGGCCATCCAAGGTCATTGATACCTCCTTGACCCTCCCTCCCTCCCTCCCTCCAGGCCACAGAGGAAAAGGAGGAGATGGAAGAGCTACAGGCCTACAACCGTCGCCTCCTCCACAACATCCTCCCCAAAGACGTGGCAGCCCACTTCCTGGCGCGAGAGCGTCGGAACGATGAGCTCTACTACCAGTCCTGTGAGTGTGTGGCCGTCATGTTCGCCTCCATCTCCAACTTCTCTGAGTTCTACGTAGAGCTGGAGGCCAACAACGAAGGAGTGGAGTGTCTCAGGCTGCTCAACGAGATCATCGCAGACTTTGACGAGGTGAGTGGGGAGGAGAGAGGTATGGGGAGGGAGGAGAGGAGAGAGGTATGAGGATGGGAAAGGGAGGAGAGAGGTATGAGGATGGGGGAAGGAGGAGAGGTATGAGGATGGGGGAAGGAGGAGGGAGGTATGAGGATGGGCGAAGGAGAGGTATGAGAATGGGGGAAGGAGATAGGTATGAGGATGGGGGAAGGAGGAGAGAGGAAGGGGGATGGAGGTATGAGGATGGGGAGGAGAGAGGTATGAGGATGGGGGGAGGAGAGGGGTATGAGGATGGGAGGAGGAGGAGAGAGGAAGGGGGATGGAGGTATGAGGATGGGGAGGAGAGAGGTATGAGGATGGGAGGAGGAGAGAGAGGTATGAGGATGGGGGAAGGAGAGCAGTATGAGGATGGGAGGAGGAGAGGGGTATGAGGATGGGGGAAGGAGGATAGCAGTATGAGGATGGGGGGAGGAGAGGGGTATGAGGATGGGAGGAGGGGGAGAGCGATATGAGGAGAGGGAGTGGAGTGTCCGCCTGCTCAATGAGATCATCACAGAATTTGACTAGGTTAGACGGGCCTTTCTTGCTGTGTGTGTGTCTGTGTGTTTAAGCTGACCATATTTTCTGTCACATTACTCCTAATATAACTACAGTATGGGTACTAGTGACTATTATTGGACCCTGTTATGTTGAAATAGCTAACAATCTCAGTGCTATTAACCCAAGTATACTAACTAGTAAATGTCTTTCTCTCAGCACTCACTTCCCCATTATCCTCCTCTCCTCCCAGATCATCAGTGAAGACCAGTTCCGCCAGCTGGAGAAAATAAAGACCATTGGCAGTACCTACATGGCAGCCTCTGGCCTCAACGACTCTACCTACGACAAGGAAGGCCGCTCACACATCAGAGCCCTGGCAGACTATGCCATGAGACTCATGGACCAGATGAAGTACATCAACGAACACTCCTTCAATAACTTCAAGATGAAGATCGGTAAAGCTGCCTACGGGAAATATATTTTTGTTGCCTTGTTGTTCATTTTGATGTGAATTCATGAGAATAACGATATCCTTAAGCGATAGTGCCACACAAAATGTATAACGAGTAATGGTAAAAATGTGACCTCACCAGGAAAAACTCTGCTTACCCATATCCCTGAAAACCTAGAAAATGTATATTGAACATACTGTATACAGTGGGGAAAAAAAGTATTTAGTCAGCCACCAATTGTGCAAGTTCTCCCACTTAAAAAGATGAGAGAGGCCTGTAATTTTCATCATAGGTACACGTCAACTATGACAGACAAAATGAGATTTTTTTTCCAGAAAATCACATTGTAGGATTTTTAATGAATTTATTTGCAAATTATGGTGGAAAATAAGTATTTGGTCAATAACAAAAGTTTCTCAATACTTTGTTATATACCCTTTGTTGGCAATGACACAGGTCAAACGTTTTCTGTAAGTCTTCACAAGGTTTTCACACACTGTTGCTGGTATTTTGGCCCATTCCTCCATGCAGATCTCCTCTAGAGCAGTGATGTTTTGGGGCTGTCGCTGGGCAACACAGACTTTCAACTTCCTCCAAAGATTTTCTATGGGGTTGAGATCTGGAGACTGGCTAGGCCACTCCAGGACCTTGAAATGCTTCTTATGAAGCCACTCCTTCGTTGCCCGGGCGGTGTGTTTGGGATCATTGTCATGCTGAAAGACCTAGCCACGTTTCATCTTCAATGCCCTTGCTGATGGAAGGAGGTTTTCACTCAAAATCTCACGATACAAGGCCCCATTCATTCTTTCCTTTACACGGATCAGTCGTCCTGGTCCCTTTGCAGAAAAACAGCCCCAAAGCATGATGTTTCCACCCCCATGCTTCACAGTAGGTATGGTGTTCTTTGGATGCAACTCAGCATTCTTTGTCCTCCAAACACGACGAGTTGAGTTTTTACCAAAAAGTTATATTTTGGTTTCATCTGACCATATGACATTCTCCCAATCCTCTTCTGGATCATCCAAATGCACTCTAGCAAACTTCAGACGGGCCTGGACATGTACTGGCTTAAGCAGGGGGACACGTCTGGCACTGCAGGATTTGAGTCCCTGGCGGCGTAGTGTGTTACTGATGGTAGGCTTTGTTACTTTGGTCCCAGCTCTCTGCAGGTCATTCACTAGGTCCCCCCGTGTGGTTCTGGGATTTTTGCTCACCGTTCTTGTGATCATTTTGACCCCACGGGGTGAGATCTTGCGTGGAGCCCCAGATCGAGGGAGATTATCAGTGGTCTTGTATGTCTTCCATTTCCTAATAATTGCTCCCACAGTTGATTTCTTCAAACCAAGCTGCTTACCTATTGCAGATTCAGTCTTCCCAGCCTTGTGCAGGTCTACAATTTTGTTTCTGGTGTCCTTTGACAGCTCTTTGGTCTTGGCCATAGTGGAGTTTGGAGTGTGACTGTTTGAGGTTGTGGACAGGTGTCTTTTATACTGATAACAAGTTCAAACAGGTGCCATTAATACAGGTAACAAGTGGAGGACAGAGGAGCCTCTTAAAGAAGAAGTTACAGGTCTGTGAGAGCCAGAAATCTTGCTTGTTTGTAGGTGACCAAATACTTATTTTCCACCGTAATTTGCAAATAAATTCATTAAAAATCCTACAATGTGATTTTCTGGATTTTTTTTCTCAATTTGTCTGTCATAGTTGACGTGTACCTATGATGAAAATTACAGGCCTCTCTCATCTTTTTAAGTTGGTGACTAAATACTTTTTTTCCCGACTGTATATTGTTAAAAACATGCTAAACTATATCCCTGTCCACCGCTGCAGGACTAAACATGGGTCCAGTGGTGGCTGGGGTGATCGGGGCCAGGAAGCCCCAGTATGATATCTGGGGGAATACAGTCAACGTGGCCAGCCGCATGGACAGCACTGGTGTACCTGATCGGATCCAGGTAACTAACAGACACAGCACAGTAGAAACTGATAACACACCGAGGATTTCTATTGTGACTTTTTTCTGACTATGATGAAGACTTAAGGGTCGAAACATTGTCAATAAAGCACCAAGAAGCATAGCGTCTTTTTTTAACCTTGTGTCGATCTTTTAGAATATTATCATGTGGCAGTGTGAAAGGGCAGGCAGTGTGCCTATGATCAAGATATGTGAACACTGCTATCCTCTGTGTGACTTTCTGACTACAGCTTCTTCCCTTTCTCTTCCTCTCTCTCCTCTTTCTCCCGCCAGGTGACCTCTGACCTGTACAACGTGCTGAACTCCTATAACTACACACTAGAGTGCCGAGGCCTGGTCAAGGTGAAGGGTAAAGGAGAGATGCAGACCTACTTCCTCACTGGTGGACCTCCCAGCAGTTAACACCCAGGGTGTGTCAAAAATGGAACCCTATTCCTTGTATAGTGCACTACTTCTGACCAGGGACATAGGGCTCTGGTCAAAAGTAGTGTACTATATAGGAAATAGGGTGCCATTTCAGACGCAGCCTATTCAGAAGCAGCCCCCGTAACAGACTGACACTGGTGCAGGAGAAGGCTGAGAGGAGAGGGGTGATTGGACTAAAAGGGGCTGACCCCCAAGTCTTTGACGAGCAGGCTCATGGACCTGTGTTAGCTTGGGGAACTGACTGCCCCCCACCCATACCCCTTTTCCTAGATTTATTCCCTCCCTACCTGCAGAGGTCAGCCTCTGATTGGACCAGAGTGAAGGAGACCCCACCCAGCCTCTTCTCGGATTGGGGGAAAGAGGGAGGAGCTTAGAGGGCCTGGGTTCGCTGAAGAGACCAAAGAAATCCCATCAGACTACAGCAGATAGAGACACATTGTGACAGCAGCATTCTCTCACTGTCTTATTTCCACCAGTCATAGTGTGAGTTAAGGAACGGCTATGAGCCAATCATCTCGCAGTACTGTAGATCTCTTTAAGGGTCTGAGGAAATTGATCCACTCTGTGTGTCTTCATAGACATTCTGCTGAAGGATCCAAGTCGCTCTAAACAAAACCTGCATGAAGACACAGAAACCCATATATACACGTGCAACATTAGGAAAGTATTCAGACCCCTTCACTTTTTCCACATTTTATTACGTTACAGCCTTTTTATCAAATGGATTATATAAAATAAAATCCTCATCAATCTACACACAATACCCCATAATGACAAAGTGAAATCAGGTTTTTAGAAATGCTTGCAAATCTATTACAAATAAAAAAACTGAAATACCGTATTTACATAAGTATTCAGACCCTTGAGCTCAGGTGCGTCCTGTTTCCATTGATCATCCTTGAGATGTTTCTACAACTTGATTGGAGTCCACTTGTGGTAAATTCAATTGATTGGACTTGATTTGGAAAGGCACACACCTGTCTATATAAGGTCCCACAGTTGACAGTGCATGTCAGAGCAAATACCAAGCCATGAGGTCGAAGGAATTGTCCGTAGAGCTCCGAGACAGAATTGTGTCGAGGCAGAGATCTGGGGAAGGGTACGGAAAACTTTCTGCAGCACAGTGGCCTCCATCATTCTTAAATGGAATGAGTTTGGAACCACCAAGACTCTTCCTAGAGCTGGCCGCCCGGCCAAACTTAGCAATCGGGGGAGAAGGGCCTTGGTCAGGGAGGTGACGAAGAACCCGATGGTCACTCTGACAGAGCTCCAGAGTTCCTCTGTGGAGATGGGAGAACCTTCCAGAAGGACAAACATCTCTGCAGCACTCCACCAATCAGGCCTTTATGGTAGAGTGGCCAGACAGAAAACACATGACAGCCCGCTTGGAGTTTGACAAAAGGCACCTAAAGGACTCTCAGACCATGAGAAACAAGATTCTCTGGTCTGATGAAACCAAGATTGAACTCTTTGGCCTGAATGCCAAGCGTCATGTCTGGAGGAAACTAGGCACCGCTCATCACCTGGCCAATACCCTCCCTACAGTGAAGCATGGTGGTGGCAGCATCATGCTGTGGGGATGTTTTTCAGCGGCAAGGGCCTGGGAGACTAGTCAGGATCGAGCGAAAGATGAACGGAGCAAAGTACAGAGAGATCCTTGATGAAAACCTGCTCCAGAGCGCTCAGGACCTCAGACTGGGGCGAAAGTTCACCTTCCAACAGGACAACGACCCTAAGCACACAGCCAAGACAACGCAGGAGTGACTTTGGGACAAGTCTCTGAATGTCCTTGAGTGGCCCAGCCAGAGCCCGGACTTGAACCCGATCTAACATCTCTGGAGAGACCTGAAAATAGCTGTGCAGCGACGATCCCCATCCAACCTGACAGAGCTTGAGAGGATCTGCAGAGAAGAATGGGAGAAACTCCCCAAATACAGGTGTGCCAAGCTTGAGGCTGTAAGACTCGAGGCTGTAATCACTGCCAAAGGTGCTTCAACAAAGTCCTGAGTAAAGGGTCTGAATACTTATGTAAATGTGATATTTCCGGTAGTTTTTTTATTTATAAATTTGCAAAGAAATCTAAAAACCTGCTTTTTGCTTTGTCATTATGGGTTATTGTGTGTAGATTGATGAGGGGAAAAAACGATTTAATACATTTTAGAATAAGGCTGTAACGTAACAAAATGTGGAAAAAGTGAAGGGGTCTGAATACTTTCCGAATGCACTGTATATATATATATATATATATATAGTACAGTGGGGAAAAAAAGTATTTAGTCAGCCACCAATTGTGCAAGTTCTCCCACTTAAAAAGATGAGAGAGGCCTGTAATTTTCATCATAGGTACACGTCAACTATGACAGACAAAATGAGGGAAAAAAATCCAGAAAATCACATTGTAGGATTTTTTATGAATTTATTTGCAAATTATGGTGGAAAATAAGTATTTGGTCACCTACAAACAAGCAAGATTTCTGGCTCTCACAGACCTGTAACTTCTTCTTTAAGAGGCTCCTCTGTCCTCCACTCGTTACCTGTATTAATGGCACCTGTTTGAACTTGTTATCAGTATAAAAGACACCTGTCCACAACCTCAAACAGTCACACTCCAAACTCCACTATGGCCAAGACCAAAGAGCTGTCAAAGGACACCAGAAACAAAATTGTAGACCTGCACCAGGCTGGGAAGACTGACTCTGCAATAGGTAAGCAGCTTGGTTTGAATAAATCAACTGTGGGAGCAATTATTAGGAAATGGAAGACATACAAGACCACTGATAATCTCCCTCGATCTGGGGCTCCACGCAAGATCTCACCCCGTGGGGTCAAAATGATCACAAGAACGGTGAGCAAAAATCCCAGAACCACACGGGGGGACCTAGTGAATGACCTGCAGAGAGCTGGGACCAAAGTAACAAAGCCTACCATCAGTAACATACTACGCCGCCAGGGACTCAAATCCTGCAGTGCCAGACGTGTCCCCCTGCTTAAGCCAGTACATGTCCAGGCCCGTCTGAAGTTTGCTAGAGTGCATTTGGATGATCCAGAAGAGGATTGGGAGAATGTCATATGGTCTGATGAAACCAAAATATAACGTTTTGGTAAAAACTCAACTCGTCGTGTTTGGAGGACAAAGAATGCTGAGTTGCATCCAAAGAACATACCTACCTTTTCTGCAAAGGGACCAGGACGACTGATCCGTGTAAAGGAAAGAATGAATGGGGCCATGTATCGTGAGATTTTGAGTGAAAACCTCCTTCCATCAGCAAGGGCATTGAAGATTAAACGTGGCTGGGTCTTTCAGCATGACAATGATCCCAAACACACCGCCCGGGCAACGAAGGAGTGGCTTCGTAAGAAGCATTTCAAGGTCCTGGAGTGGCCTAGCCAGTCTCCAGATCTCAACCCCATAGAAAATCTTTGGAGGGAGTTGAAAGTCTGCATTGCCCAGCGACAGCCCCAAAACATCACTGCTCTAGAGGAGATCTGCATGGAGGAATGGGCCAAAATACCAGCAACAGTGTGTGAAAACCTTGTGAAGACTTACAGAAAACTTTGACCTGTGTCATTGCCAACAAAGGGTATATAACAAAGTATTGAGAAACTTTTGTTATTGACCAAATACTTATTTTCCACCATAATTTGCAAATAAATTCATTAAAAATCCTACAATGTGATTTTCTGGATTTTTTTTCTTCTCATTTTGTCTGTCATAGTTGACGTGTACCTATGATGAAAATTACAGGCCTCACTCATCTTTTTAAGTGGGAGAACTTGCACAATTGGTGGCTGACTAAATACTTTTTTCCCCCACTGTATATGTATATATATGTATATATATGTATATATATTAGTATATATGTATTATATAGTATATGTATATATATGTATATAGTATATGTATATATATTAATATATATATTAGTATATAGTACATATATATGTATATATGTATATATATGTATATATGTATATATATTATTATATATGTATGTATATATATATATATATATATATAATATGTGGAAAAAAGTGTTTTTGTTCATACAGTCCATGGATGCTGTCTTTGTACACTGTTGAGTGGTACAGATATTGCAATTCTCCAAACCATGGGTACACTACGTACTAACATGGCCAGCCAGCACAGCAGCACTATCTATCAAACCCTTTACTGGAGTTGGTCAGAGAGGAAGGAGCAGTGTGTTTAATCACTAGTAGGGAGCCTAGGTGGGCCGTGTTAACCTGGCTGGGTACTTGAACGACCAGTGAGACTGCACTGCTCTGCTCAGTGTGAGTTTACAGAACTCTACACTACACACACGTCATGCAAACACAGGCACAAAAACACACTCACACACAAACGTGCCCATAAACACACACAGACATTCGCTAGACACACACATACACGTGCATATAAACAGACACACACACACACTTTAACTGAAGACACTTTCAACCGAGGATGTCAACGAAAAGCTTTTTTTGTATTTTCGACATTTTGACTCGAAAACACCAAACCCTATAAGATCTTTTAGATTCTATATTTTGTACATTAATATATTAGAGAGAAATATCTATAAATAAACAACATGTATTCGGATGTACATAGCTGACTGAGACCCATTACAATCATGCACATTTGCAAGGGGTGGAGGATTCCTTTTCTTTCCCATCACTGTATTCTTCATTCTTTCTAGTTCACCTGCTTTTTCCACACATTTGGTTTGAATATCAAGCAGTTGCCTGCACTTGTGGCAAGGCATCCCTCGCCATTTTCTTTCAGCTTAATAACACCCTGCAGTCAGTCCATGTCATAGATAGACTGGTTTGGTGCTCTAAGAAGCCATTTTGCGCTACACTGCTACTGCCCTCCCACTACCCCTGACTCAATCAGATGGTATGACCCAATGAATGTCCAATTTTCTCCAATGAGGCCTTTATACTAGTCTATATACTGACGATGACATGATCCTTATGTTAAATAATATGAGGAGCAGCTTGTGGGAGTCCATGTGGACATGTTTCCTTTTGACCTTTGATCTGCTGTATGTTTTTATCCCCATTAGGGTTGCAGTATTCCGGTAACTTTCCCAAAATTCCCAGGTTTTTCCAGAAATACTGGTTGTAAGATTCCCGGAATCAGGAGGGAATAAGCAGGAAATCCAGGAAACTTCCAACTGAGATTTCTGGAAAACCTGGGAATTTTGGGAAAGTGACTGGAATTTTGAACTCCCTATTCCCCTTTATCTGTTTTTGGTAGAGCGGCCTATCAGCGTTACTGTTACAGCATACTGTGGTATCTTTATCTTATCCTACATCTGATGTGTCATCATTCTAATTTCACAGATTTTTTGGTCTTTCCCTAACTGTACAG